TTAGGAGAACATATGTCATCTGCTCCAGAGGTTGCTTCTGACTGTTCTACTTCTTCGCCTTCGTCTGTAATTATGCCATGTTCAGGTCCACTCGACCTTTTAGCATGGTATTTTTTTTCATGTTTAGCATTTTTGCTTGCACATTTGATGTGTTGATTATCTTCCTGACTGTGGATTGCGTTTATCCTTTTTTCGGGAATGGTTGATCGCTGTTGTACACGAGAATCGCGAGAGTTTTGCTCATCCGATTCCGTTTTTGAGTTGCAATTTTTTTCATCTTCGTGGTGATCAATAACTGTTTCAAACATTTTTAACCTTTTAATATCGTCAATTTTTTCTGCTTTGTTTACCTGCTTTGTTTTGAATTGGCTTTGTTCTAGAGATTTTGTTATATATTCAATTTCTTCTTGAATAAGGTGATCGTGTTTTTTTTGTCTTGGCTTAGGGAACCAAGATTGTTTAGCAGGTATATCTTCCTGTTTAATGGTGTCTTGTACGATAAGGCATCGTTTTGCAGAGGTATATGTTGAATTTTCTTTATAACGGTTTATTTCTTTGAAATTCCGCAATTCCCTTGCTATTTTCTGCGCTGTTTTTTCTATTTTATTCTTATCATCCAAATTCTTATTTTTTTGTTGTTTTTGAGTTTTTTTGTTCTCTTTTTGTGGAATCTGTTGCACAGATTGGAAGGACTTTAATTTTGTCGGAGATTGCTCCATTAGTGCGGATGTCGGGCTTGGTTGCTTCTGAATTGGATAGGTTTGAGGAAGTCCTCCTTCTTTGGTTGATGCTGCGTTTAACTGTTGGCGATCTTGAATTTGATCAATTTTTGTTTTTTTATCCTTCGAATATGTTACTCTTTCGTTGCACTGGTGATCGCGGATTAAATCTCTCAGTGATTCTTTGTCCTTGGTAGTGGTAAATATTCGCTGCATTAATTCTTCGTAACTCGTCGATTCTACCTTTCGGGAACTTTGTAAATTAGGCAGCGTCTCGGGGAGTTTTAGTTGCTGAATCTCACGAAGCGATTCACCTTCTGCCCATTTGTATTCTCCGATTGTATTCGAAACTTTTTTTTTATTAGATGGCGATAATTCAGGATAGGGAATAGAAATTTCAGAAATATATTCTGTCGAGTTCGAGTTTAAGCTGTAGTCAAAGCCATATTTGCTCATTTCTTTGCATAAATCAGGCTCTCTTGATATTTTGCACTCGATTTCTTCCACTGAGCTATGTTCGACCGATTTCTTGTAATCATTTTCTTCCTCGATATCGCTGAGGCTATCATATGCTTTCATTTCTTCCTGAAGGTTCTGAAACATGGGTTGTTCTAAGGATATTTCTTCATGCACATATGTTTTGGGAGAATATTGCTCATTGGCTTCGAAAGTTGAGTTTGAATGTGCTTTGTCTCTGTGGCGCTCTATAATTTTGCCTTGTTCAGTCTCAATCCAGCGTTTGATAGCGTCATAAATATTTTCATATTTCATTTTTTCATGTGGATATTGATTTGCCGATTGCCTTATGTATTTCATGCATTCCAATTCTTTCGGATTGAAATCATCGGAGGCTCTTATCTCTTGTTGAAGAATCTGATGAGGGATCTGAATCTGTAGCTGAGATTGTTCAAGCAATATTTGTCCCTGGACAGAAGTTTCAGGAGAATATCGTTCATCTATTCCGGAAATTGGACTGGAATGTTTAGAATGGTTTTTGCTTTCATTAGCTGATTTTTTGAAAATATCTTCTAGAGCTTCTTGACCTATAGTTTGTATAGGAGTGTAATTCTCTGAAAGTAACATATAATATTCATGGTCATATTCGCTGTCATCGAAGCTGTCGCTTGTATCAATTTCCTGATTATCTTTTCTTTCGTAAGATCCATTTGCAAATTGTATTAATGCTAATTTTATTATATTTTGCCATATTTTATCAGCGAATTTCTTGATAATTTCTTCATCATCTCTGTCACTATTGCTAATGTTTAGAGATAGGTCTGTTTCGATTTGCTCTTCGTCCATTATTCCATAGGTGATTTCCGATGAATACCGTCTTTGTTTCTTTGTTTCTGTAATTTTTTAGCAGTAACTTCATAGATATTACGGAGGCTCTTTTCCATGAATTGAATAGGCAGTTGTTATAATCATATTGGACGGACTTAAGTTTTCCCGAGTCAAAAAAGTGTTATTTATCAAAATAGTCAATTTTATTTATTTTTCAACATTTTCATTTCGTTTTCCTCTATATCTTCTTCTATATCGAGTGGAAAGATTGAATTAATTCGTAATTTCATCTTCGCTTTAAGAAATTATGGAATGTGATTTTGAGGAATGAAAAATTTCCCGGATGATTCTAACCTGTACTTTTATCCCAACGTGGCCCCGTGTCGAAGATGCTTTAGCCTAATCAATAATAATCAATATAGCCAACTATAGCAGAAACAGTTAGGATAAAAAGTGGAAATTTTGTAGGCATCAGTCAGAAAAATAGCTACATAGGAAGAATATAAAGAATTTAAATTTTGAAATACTCTTATAGTTATGTTTTAGATTTAATTGTTTTATGAGGTTATTTATTTGAGGCAAGATTCATGTATCTATAAAACTATAATAAACTTATACCAATTTTTTCACCAATCGTAAATTCGTGAACGGATTTTGATTTCTTAATTTCATTTTCTTTAGATTTTGTCAAATTTTTAAGAGAATTCAATGATGCGAACGAAAGTGAAATTGCCAGCTTTCGCCTGTAATAAGTTCCATCGCCTAATTTATTGCTTTTATGAAAGGCACAATTAATTTCTCCAACCGCATTAATCAATTTTGAACTTTTACGTTCCGAAATTCGTTGTTTTATTTCCTCAAAAACATTGCGAAGAATCTGTAATGTCAAAAAAAAACAATAATTATCCAGTTTGTCTTCTTCGATGTGTCTATAGTAATATCTTATGTCCTCATAAAGAAGATCAAATATTGCCATGCATAGGCATTGACAATATATTTCTAAAGAGTTTGTCGAGGACAATGTCTTTGTCATTGCCATTTGATAAATCTTTGTATGAACAGTTGTCGAATATTCAGCTATAGTTAGGTCTTGTTCGTAAATTAACTCTGGCTCTGGTGCAACTGAAATCAATAGAATTATTGCTTTTCACTAACCAGATTTTCCATTAAATATATATTTAATAAACATATTGAGAAATAATATTTCAAATTTATTCCTCAGTTCATTAAGGATGGTAGATAATAAATTTATATGATTTTTAGGATTATTGATGCCATTCATCAAAAAATGTGCTTTAACCTTTTTCTCGCTTTCCAGAATCATTGAATCTACCATCTTTATTTAAGCTGTTGAGCCAATTGGATATATGATCACTGATTAATTTGATACTAAATGAAAATTGCTCACTTGGAATTCCTAAATAATTCAGTTCTGTTCAAAATGTTACGGAATTCTTACATCAGCACATTAGAATTTCACTTTTTTTCCTTTGTATTTATTTATTGATAATTTAAATGATAAGTACCCTTTTAAATGAAATGCGTATTTATTTTGAATTAATTGTCACTATTTTGAATTTAAATTAGATTTAATACTACTTTAATACTAGATTTATTGTACTGAACGATGAATTATTTCCTCACAATCCAGATCAATTTCATATAATTCAAAAAAAAATTATCATACTGTCAATTGCGTTTCATGCAAGTTTTTCAAAGTGAAAAATATTCAATTTAACAAATTTCTGTTTATTTATGGCAAAATAATAGGTTAACAGATGAAAAGAAATATTATTACATAATAAAATATAAATATAATTAATATAATAATATAAATAATATAATATAATATAATATAATAATATAAATATAATTAAACTATAATGAAATATAATTATTGTAATTTCTAATTTGGCCGCAAAAATCATAAATTAAAAACTATAAATTTATTTAATTTTAATTTTATATGCTTAAAATCTATAAAATAAAAAAAATTTAGCATACGAAATCGTGATGACGCTGTTTCCGAAGTGGAGGAATTAGTAGTAAGAGATGAGCTCGGTCGGCTACTATTAGATTGATATGAATTGTAAGACTGACCAAGCGAACTCGGTGATGGTGGAATGTTGCTTATTTCGATGGCTAAAGACCGAAAAATGATTTCTTAAAAATCACCATTACTGGTCAGATTCGTTTTGCTAAAGAGAAAATAAAATATCCCTTGGCAATAGAAGCATAGGTGAGCCTCCTGTATCATTCGGATTTTTGGATCGATTTACTCCCGCCGGGAATAGAATTTCAGCATCGACTCTACAAATTAACCCACTAACCATTCCACTCTTTGATTTTCTCTTTTAGGCTCTATCGCCCGATGAAGTGTAGTGCGTCGGCGGATTCGAACCCAAGCCTCGATTTCAGTTGAACACATAATATATATAACCCATATGCATATTTTATTTATTTTATATACCGCTTAGGTAATTTAATTTAATGCTACATGGGAAGTTATGGAAATATAGCGCACTGCTTGGATATTCCTTTAAAGTTTTTAATCCTAAAGAGAGAGTCCAACTGGTGTTGAGGAAAGTCATTTCTGCCTATAAATTATTCTCTGCCTAAACAAATCTCAATCTCATCCCTATAGCTAGTGCAGCGATTTTAACCACTATTAATGATGCAAGAGCAAATAAAGGATCCAAAGAAAATTTAATTATTATACCGTAATTTTTTTCATCGCTGCCAATTTTCATATATTTGATTCAAAAGCATTGAAGGAAATTCCATCTTTGAAATTTCCAGTATAGCTTGACTTACATTCCGGAAGGGAGTCCATTCGTATAAACTGATTGTCGTGCTCAATTGAGAATAATGTTTCTTCCAGATCTATAGTGCCACGAAAAGCTGGATCACGCAATACTGAAAGATTTTTTGAATCGAGTACAGTCTTTGCTTCTTTACATGACTGCTCAGCTCTTTGGATGACCTTAAACAGTTCATTTTATAATTTTAAAATAATTGAAAGAAAATGCTTTGAACATGATTATGATTATATGAAAGTTTAGATTAAATTTTTCATTATGATTATTTAAATCGCTACTGGTTGATATCCGGGATTTGTTCGCTCTCGTAGATAAGAGTTAATATTTCTGAATGTGAGACGATACCTAGTACAGATTTCCATTTTACAGAGCAATTTTGTGCCATTCTAGGATTCTCGTGCAGATCCGTAACTTTAAGTCTACAACTCCGATAGCTCTGAGGGAAAAGGACTTTTAGGTTTTTTATGTATCAAAATTAAAGGCGGAAATTTTGCTTTTGCCAACAGAACTGTTGCAAAAATATTGCTAAATAAACTAATATCCATCAATTTTGGGGTGCAAAAATATAGATTTTTCTCCATCTGCTTTTTGTGGCTCTCCCGCCGACAAATTATTATATGCTTTGAGGACTTAAGTAATATTTCCAAGAAAACATTCAGAGAATATTTAATAATTAACGCAATAATTTCATTAATGTCTATTACGTGAAGAACAGAGCCTTTTTTTATGAGTGCTATGAGAAATATTTAATTAGGGCTACAAAAAACTTATTAAAGCCACAGTCCTCTTAGCAAAATTCAAATATTTTACCTAGCAAAATTCAAATATTTTAACTTTTACTTCTATAATACGCTGTTTTTGTTCCTCAGTGATCTCAGGAAAATCAAGATATAGCTTTGAGTGTTCGGAGTTTACCTCTTTAGCATTGACATCTCCATCTTTTTCCTCACCTTCCACCTGTGCTTCACTTATCTTTGATCTGCATGAATGAATATTATTCAAAAACATTTTCAAAATTCAATTCAAAAACATAACACATTCAAAATTTCAATGATATAAAACAACTAGTTTGCACAGCAGATATTTTTTTCTGGAATATCAAGAAAGAATATTTCAAAGAAGCAAGAATCATTAAAAAATATAAATATAAGAACACAGAAAATTTATAGGCTTTCCTAAAAATTCTTGCCATTTTATGTCGTTTATTTTTGAGGCCTTAACTTCATTAAAAATCAATATTTTTATTCAAGATAAAAATATTACATTTCATTCCATTAATATAAAAGTCTCTGAAGTCCTCGAGCTTCTGAAATCGATGAATTACTGGAAAATAATTCTAATTTTTATTTTTTACTATGCAGCTCTTTCATAATCGTTGCGTCAGGATTTAAAGGGTTGTTGTGGATCAATCTTGCAGTGGACCATAAAATAGTATGCATAAACCTTTTGAAATGAAGATCGGGATTTGGTGCAGATCAGAAAGAACGTCTAATTGCATAATAATTTCGTCAATCTTTTTCTTTGTCGTAAAAAATCCACTTTTCGCAAGTAAAAGTTCGTTCTAGAAAAATCATTTTTGCACCGAATTGGTAGAACGTGTTTTCATTTAAATCATGGAAAACCGATTTGCCAAGTTTTTTTTTCTTCTCCATTGCCCGCAGATGATTCAACATATTGTTGCAAAACACAGTGCTCTTTGTGCAAAACTGTACAATTCCATTCGAATCAGCCACCTTCAACTCTTCAGAACAACAAAACTTGAGCAGCGTCTGCACCGTGATACAACTTCGAGATCCATATCTCCGAATCTTCAAGAACCAATTTTGTGCTGTCCTTTATTTAGATGGGTTACCAAAAGATATTGCCTAGTGGTTTTGTCGCTCAGTGTCACAGTTTAAATGTCACAGCTCGCTAACTGCATGCCAAATTTAATCATCAAAATTACCGAAAAATTAACAAAATTATCAAAATCAAAAATTATCAAAATGCTGCTTTTGACCACGAATCAGCGAGCAGAGCGATGCAAGGCGTGTTAGCCAATATGGTATGATAAAATGCTGCTTCAAATTTAGATATAAAAAAATGGCAGGAATTCTTAGAAGGCCCAAAGCCTTGCATTGCTCATTACACTAAACATTTCATGTAAAAAAAAACAAACAAACAAACCTAAAAATTTGAAACCAGGATGCCATTATCCATTTAAAATTGAGCAGTCAAAAATTTTGCGCCGAACATTATTTGATTTGTATCGAAAAGCCAGAGATTCTAAAGATTTTAAAAACAAGATTTAAATCAATGATTTTAATGATTTAATGAAAACTTTATCGAATTATATTAATGCTTTTTTGTATCACGAATAGTAATTTTAAAATACCTGCTACACCGACTCAATGAAAAAGTTGGAAAACATAAACCACAAAGAAAATAATACAGAAAACAGAGCTTTTAATGGAGTGTAATGGTATTTGGAAAAAGCAAAAGTTTAGCAAGCCTTCATAGGATGTTTAGAGAATAGGTGTTAAGGGATAAAATTATTTGGACGACTACAAAGAAGTGAAGATTTCAAAAACAAATGTTGCGGGAAAAGGGGATGCATAAGTTAAAACAAGTATAATGGATGGATGGAAAAAGAGAAATATGAATAGAACTCTGAAGTGTTCAGAGCGTTTCAACAGGTATTGTGATAATATAGCAAGATAATTTGAGAAAGTGTCTAGGGATTGGCTAAGGTTTCGAGGGCATTTTAAAAGTATTTGGGCTGAGATTCGTGAGATAATATTTCCGCGATTTCCACGATTCTGGAACTCGCAATTTTGCAGTTTTAAGGTTTACTTTGAATAATTTAGTCAAGTTAAAGAATGAGCAATTAAATTCAAATATAAAAAATTCAAAGAAGCACAAAAAATCACATTTCCTAAAAAGAACAATAAATTTTATCTCTTAATATAATTTTTTCTCTTAATATAAAGCCAAAATTAAAGAAAAAATGAAAATTTGAAAATTCCAAAGATGTTTACTTCAGAATGAATATGCTCATTTTCATGCAAAATCGAAATATCTTAAACATAGAATAAACAAATGAAATGGTTAGATTTATTCAACTCTAATGAAATGCCATGAAATGCCTTTGATCCATTCCTTTTTAGCGCGCTCCACCTGCTGTTAGAGGTCCAGATAATCTGTTAAGCGTGAAGATAAAAGTGGATCTCCATCACTACCATGAATATTTTTATACAAATAAAATAAAGAAATAAATAAATAAAAATAGGTTAGCGATTATGCTATATAATTAATAAAGTTAGTGACACATGTCAATGAGAGTGGAGGATATTAAGAAGTTATCTACAACTGACCATTCATCTCTAAGATGCATTTTTTATGGGTTCAAGCAGATAAAATCTCACATAACTGCATCTATCTTCACACAAATACCACTTGCATTAACATTAATAGTATGATCTAAGAACGTCGCCTCTGTGGCACGTTCTTCGTAGTACACCACAAAATTGACTTATATTTCATTACTTGTTGAACCATATGACGGATGGCGTAAAAGCGAGGTGGACCAATCAGGACTTGGACTATGCAGCCACGAATTTGAACTTAGACGATAGAAAAAGGAATGACTTTTACTAATATTATCAGCGATGGCATAATTTATGCCAAGGAATCACTTGACGATAGAAGTACAAGTGGCTTCAACACCAGCCAACACCAGCCGAACATTTAGAATCACTGACTCTCACCCTCAGCTCTTAATTCTATGCTATGAAAGTTATTGGAGCGAGCAGTTGAGAGACAAGAAAGGCACGGTTTGCAAGTTTAGGCACATTGCGATATATTTGAAAAATTAGATGATAGAATGAATCAGTCAAAAAAAGAAAAAATTAAGTGGAAAATGTTGAGTGAAAATGAAAAAATGATGATATTCTTGGCAGTAATATCATAAAAAATAAGGAATATTAAAAAATTTTTAAAAAACTGAAGTGTAGAGGCAAAGAGTAAAGAGTAAGGAGCACCTTAAAGCAAATTTCTATGATGACCAAATTTCAATAATTGACACTGAAATTTATTGTTATTTAATAATTTAATACTGCAAATAAAAGAATTATATGACATTAGTTTTGGAAAAAGATAAAAGCCGTTTTAATCTGTCATTATCTCGAAAATCAGTTCTATTAAACGACAAGATTATATTTGAAAAAAAAACATTCTCAATTTTTTCTGCCGTTACCAAATTTTTGCTAGCATTAAGATTTTTTTATTATTATTTTTTTTGAAGCAACTTTTTATATTTTTTAAATTTTGACTTTATTAAGTTGAAATTTTTTGAAAAGGAAATGTGGAGAAGTTTAAAAGGCGCAAATGCCATGTGCTTGTGTTAATAGCAACAGTTAAAATAGCAAATAATAAGAATTAATGACAAAAAACAAAAAAAAAATAATATTAAAATAAAATAAACAATTTAAAGATGAAATAAAGAGGATAGCATTATGATATGTAATTTTTTTATTATTTTTTCTTATTTGAACCAACTTTCTATATTTTTTAAATTTTGACTTTATTAAGTTGAAATTTTTTGAAAAGGAAATGTGGGGAAGTTTAAAAGTTTGATGCAAAGCAAATTTTTAAAATAATATAGTATAGTACAATTCGAAATATAATCAGATGGTAAAAATCGCGATTTCACCCTTCCTGCATGATGTGAATTTTTTAAATAATATCATAAATAATATTATCTATCCTTTTTTTAAGATAGCTAAGGATAACTATCACTCGGTAATTTATTCCAGTAATTAATAGTACGAATAAAGAAGTCATGAATCCTTAGTTTAGTTTTTAGTACATAAGTTTTAGTAATTTTAGCCCATTAGTTCATGTTGGATTTAAATTTAACCTAAAATTATAATATTTTGAACAATATAGTTTAACATAAACATACAAAATCTTACAAGTATAAATTAAATCTTGTTTAATACGACGAACTGAAAGAGAATCCAGGTTATATTGTAGAATTTTCTTTTGAAATTGCAATTAGGAGAGAGGCATCATACAAAATATTTTTGAAGTCCTTCAATTATTTTACTTGATTTACGATATCTCGGGGAGCAACATGTAAAATTGTAGTCAAGAAGTGGCCGAACAAACGCTTTGTACATTTTGATAAGAAAATTTTCAGTTTTTCTTAAACGAGCGAAAAATAAAATTTAGTATCTTTTGAGGATTTCTTTATCATGGTTTTGCAGTGAAGGTCGAAATCGAGATTTTCATCCAAGATTATTCCCAGATCGGAAATGTGTGAGACCCTACTGATAGAGTCTCATTAAATATATCAATATTCACTCGCAAATGAAAAAAAAAACATCAATCTGCTTAGACGATATCAAAGAAGTTTGATCAATTCGCTTAATTATTCAAAAGAAAATAGGAATTAGATATTAAAAAATTAGATATTATAGGGCCAGTAGAGCGTTTTCCTTCGACTACCATTTTAAATTTGTTTTCTATCTCTTTGGGAGATTAGATCAATCATTACGACCAAACAATGCTTGGTGTCTTTCATCCACAGATGACTCTTTTCCTAATAGCCAATAGAACCACGTAAAGGACAACGATGGGCTATAGAAAAAAAATCAAAGAATATAAAGAATAAAATATTATGGAATATAGATGGCTGAAAAAAATCTGAAGTTTTATTTTTTTCATTAAAAACACGATAATTTATCCGCGAGGAATGCAAAATTAAATTACGAACTGTGACAAAATAAACCGAAAGATTGAAGATTGAAAAGATTGAAAATTTGGAAAACATGGACATAAATTAATTATTTTCCATAAAAAACTATTAAAAAAATTCGACAAATAAAATGAAAATGGAACTTAAAATGAGTTAGAAAAAAGATTTCGATTCTTTTTACGAGTTTCAACAGATTTCCAGCGATACATTTTATTCATACTTTTCGCTGAGAAGTATTTTCCCAACATTAACCAGCATGTTGCTAAAAATG